AGTTGTGAACGGGACGAAGGCTCCTATTATTCCGAAAAAACTAGCAAATGTACAATAAGCCGTAGAAAACATAAAAGGTGTATACAAACTAAAAAGTACGATGGTTCTAAGGGGTCGGAGGAAACGTTAAGGCTGTAAGTGGCCTTAACAGTAGCATTAGTTGTATCTTTTAGTTAATGTTTAAAGGTGTATACATATATAGAGTGCTCTGTGCATAGAAACAATCAACAAAGAATGTCTGGATGTATGTATTTCAGTTGTCAAACAATCTGTGTGTAAAGTCTGAAAAAAATGTCATGACCAGTTTCTGATTGTTATTCATTTAGAAACGAAACACGCGGTGCGTTTGTCTCAACATAACGACCGCCAAACGAACTCATTAAAGCTCACAAACAGTCGAAACAGTTTTCTTGACACAAGAACAACCGGGCGTTTAACCTAATTTATATGCAATCCTTATAATAATTGTAACAATAGATTTTTTTCAGTTTCTTCATATATTAATTACAGTTATACACACTATCGGTTTGGTCCGCTTTCGGTTCGATGAAACATTTTTCAGTTGCTAACATTAGAACAACCGAGTATTGCCAAGTAAACAAGAATTACATGTTCATCTGAAAAAATGAATAATTCGTCATTGAAAGAATCAGTATTATTTCGAGCTCTAAGGTGACGTGTATACTCGTCAAATACAGTTAACTGGTTAATATGTCAACTGTTCATTATTAAAATCATTTCAGATATCCAACGCTTTTAAGATATCAATAACCGCGAAGTAAGAAAACCGAAATCCGCCATCTTGACGGGTACGGTTGCTCTAACGTTAACGAAGCAGAAACGAAAAAGTCAAGATCCTTCGATGTCCGATGCGTAACAAAGTAAATCAATCTTCAAATTTATGTATAAAGGATCGTCGCCAAAATTCGAACACCGAGCCACATTCCACTTTTACTTCTCCAGCAAACTAATTTTTTAGTGCTCCGTATAACCGGCGATCTAGCATCAACTATAGTAAAGTACAAGGACCTATAGGCAGTACGTGCACGGTGGCTCGCGGAAGTGAATTCTATACGAGCGACCACGGTTAAGTCAGCCGCTTTATGCGCGGAACCGGCGGTCTCGTTCGTCCGCTTTTATTTCAATTTTACAGTACATACGCGGCTCGTTAGAGGCGCCGAAGAAAACCTCAGAAAAAAAGCCTCGCCGGGAACGAGAAACAGAGAAACACCGTAAGAGCATGTAAGAGAACGCGCGTGTACGTGTGCAAGATAGATGGGTTTCGAGAGGTACGGGCTTGCCGAGAAAGTGGCGCGGGAGGGAGAGAGGGGGTTGAGGTAAACACGGTGGGGGTGAAAATTCCTTGCCACCTTGGGATTACCAGCAGGTTAATTACAAGAGAGAGAACGGCGCTTCTGTTTACCAGCACGGCTATTTGTCTTCCAGGTGTTATCAGCCAGGTGATAAGCACCCTTCTTGGCCGTAAAACCACCACGCTGACACACGGGCTGCTTCTTCTCGCTCCTTCTTTTTCCACGTTCCCCTCTTCTCGCTCTCGACTCGGTGAAGGGGGCGGCCTGGTACGGTCCTTCAGCCGGAACGGAAGTCGCCCGCCCAGCGAGGGGACCGCGGGGGATGCTGGAAGATGAGCGCGACCGGTGAAAAGGGACCAAGGGAAGAGTGAAGGCAGGAACCGAGAAAGCAATCCGGAACAACGAAGATGAGATGGGATGCTGCGGTCTACCTACTTTCGCTGCTGCTCTTCTCGCTGGCCAATCTTTGCTGGGCTCTCGTCGAAACCCGAGGTACGTGAGAATTTTCGGCCGCGGTGGTAGCGACTTAATCTCGCGACGCGGCTTAATCACGCGCCAATGCAACGGCCAAGAGATTCTGTTGAGCGATCGGGACGATACAGGGGGCGCTGTGTGTTGAGTTAGTTGCGCGGATAGGGGTGTGGGAAGTTTAACACTAGAGCTATCACGTGGGTCAAAATTGGTAATTCCTAATTTCTTCGTTTACAATCACTGCAAGGATACAGACAGTTCTTTAACAGTAGATTTACGGAACCCGCCAATTTCACGGATATTGAATTTTTTTAAAATTATTTAGTGACAGTTCAAGTCGATTTTGATTGACTCTGGTTTTGAAGTTACAATTTTCGCGATTTATATAGACGAACATCTGTTCTGGTCATTTTCTTGATGTGAACCTTTCGTTTGAGGATTAATGTTGTTGGTTTCGTAATGGAACAATATTTAAATTCTGCGTTTTCCTTCATTCATTTAACTTTATATTATTTAGTTTAATTATGAAGTTAGAATACATTTACGACGAAAGTTATATTAGCCTTAATATTTCCCTCTATTCATTCTTTCGTGCTAAACGCAATATTTTCGAAGAAATTTTGATGGTTTTATATAAATTTGTTGTTACATGATTTGTGCCTATTCTACTGTCGAAACATCAATGAATTGTTAGATCACTTTCATACTTTTAATGTGCGTATAAAAGACCCGAACAGTAATATAATGAGGCTAATTATACAATAAATCCAACGAATAAGTCACACGATGAATATACCTTTCAGCTCACTAAATGACATTCTTTGTTCTCTCTGGTATGTGATCCAACGTTATCATGTTACGTAATAATAGTCAGTCCAGTTTTTCACTTTGCTTCATTACTCTAATGAAAAGATGAGTTACTGTCGATAATACTGAAATTAGCAATTCCAGTAACTCATAATTATATAACACACTTGATATTTCACCACACGGACGGTAACATCTTTCCCGCGTGAATGTTGGATCTCAGTGTCGGTTATTATATAAAATCCGTTTTACATCTTCAATTACAATTTCGTATAAAAAAATCTGTTGTTTCTGATCAGACCTCATCTTTCTTATTCGTTGTCTGGTTTGATCTCGTGTGCAATCCATCAACCCATTGAATCTTCTTGATATTTTGCATCAGCCGGTCTTGCCACGTTGCCGATTTTCAAATATTCAAACTGGCATTTCGGAATCCCAAAACGGTAGAAACATATTTCAGTTTGAAGTAAAATCAAATAAAATGAATGAAATAAAAATTCATTGGATGCGAAGACACCCAATTGATTTTCACACTTAATCAAATCTTGCATGATCCTTTTGAATTCCATGCGTGATAGCCGGTGGAAAGGTGTTGCCGAAAATAAAGAGCGAGTAAATTAAGGATCATCCGGTTATCGGGTACGTGCTGACGCATACAATTAATTACAACGAGTATTGCACATTCGCGAGTCACCCCGTCGTTGCTTAGGAATTTTTCGCAAAGGGGGTGAAACCTATGAATATTCAAACGGCCCCCGCGCCAAAGTCGAATATAATCCAACGGTTCGACAACGTGACAATCATTTCTGATTTTCCCTTAATTTGACTCACTCGCCGGCCACCGGTTATTCAAACGGAGCGGTGTAAAACGGAGAACATTTAAATTCCACGTATTCACGACGGTTTAAATTAAACAATTCGGCCGGTCGCAATTATTCAAACTGCTCTCCTCCCCTGAATCCCGACTGCACTATTTTAATTAACCCGTGAAATAATAACGTCAATAATTCCGGAGCGCGACGCCTACTTTTAACATACCGCCGTTTTTATAGGGAAATCAATAATTTCGCGATATTCATTGTCGCTTAAAATGTGCAATCAAAAAATCCACTGAAACAAACGGCGAGAAAAAATTAATTTGTAACATATTCATTTATTTAAAAATCTAAGATCGCTTGAAACTTTTAACATGGGATGCACCTGCAGATTTGTTTACGTTAATAACAGTAATATTAATAAAATCAATAACAGTACTATTAAATATTTGTATTTATATTATTTTATCTTCTATATTAGTAATCAACCATTAACAACAATAATCAAATAATATTTATAATCATTGTTTTACTTTATTCGTAAATAATACATTGTTCGTGAAAGTTTAAAGAATTCTCAAATGTTTCAATAAACAAACGTTTTCTAGGGATGGCATAACAGATAAATGTAATGGTGGTATCTAGTATGGTCAGTAATGTCGCACCATTTGTTTTTTTTATACGTATACCACGATTTGTCGACACAATAACCCGCGAAATGCTACGGGGAATAGGCTCTCCCAACTAAACGCTATACAAACGGACGGCGCTACGACTATTTACCATACAAAGCAGACCAGGAGAACTGCTGATTCGACCGGCAAAAAACTCTGCAATTATACGCAGCCGTCGACTAATTTGCAATTGACTCGCGTGCGAATCTGCCGGTAATCATTAGTATCGGGTTCGCCATTATTGCGGCCCTAGTCCTCACGTTCGAAAACGCTCGCAATATTGTATATACCCGCAGTCGTTGAATTATGGAAATTGCTTGGCTGCTTGCTCGCCAGCCCGCTAATTAATTATTAATGTACGCTACTTATTAATAGTGGTAGTAGTGGGAGGGTACTACGCTCCGCGTCTGCTTCGATGAACCGCATCGCGGATACTCCTAACTTCTCTTGTTTCGTCGTTTTTCGGATTGCCATGCAAATTGCGTTAATTCATGCTTAACACTTTAACGGCCGTTGTCTCGTATACACGAGATTTCGTCAACTGGATTCACTCACTAGCGTCGCATAAACTTTGAAAGTAACCTAGAGTACCGTAAAGCAATAAAAAAGTAATCTAAACTACTGTATATTACTTTATGCTTTTCGCTGTGAATGATGAGTATACTCGTCACAAGGTAACGGCGATTTATCGTGTAATGATAAGTTTATTGTTCATTAAAAAGAGAAACAAGTGCTATTTCCCTAAAATTTAATTGAATTTTACTGCAGTTGCATATGCTTTATGTTTGACGACCACAATCGTTATCGCGTCGTTTAGCAACACACTATAGGTAGAGAAATATATTGTATTGCAGAGAATTCGGGGAAACCCTGTATAATAAAATAATATTTGTTCGGAGGAGTAACTGAAAATGAGTTATTTGATACTGAATCATTTAATCGAATAAGTTTCTCGCGAAGTTGTTTGTACATCTATACATACATACACATATAAACTCGTTTATATAAATTTGTCATTCAGTTATGCGAAATTCATCACTGTACACATTTCGTCAACATACGTTTCGTATCTTTCTCTCTGAAAGCCATTTATGCTCAGTTAATATGAAAAATACTGCATGCATAGTTGCAAAAAATTGGCGCAAGAGGTTTTTGTGAGAACTACATTATAAGAAAGTCTCATTAAAAATAACTATGTATCTCATTTTCTAAGAAAATTACATTTTTAAAGGAAAACGAAAATTCGGAGGATTAAGCATTCAAGTTTGAAAATCAAAACTAGAGGAAACAAAGGAAATAAAATTGTAAATACTTATAAAATGTGTTGTTACTTTCATAACCATTGTTTTTCATCAGCAATTATGATTTGATTTTCTTAATAATATATATTTTTAACCCCTTTTCACCCTTTTTTGTAATTTTCTACTAGAAGAACAAGCTGTAATTATAACTGAATTTATTTGCCTTTCCGAGAAATGTCCTGTCAAGTTCAAAAACTAATATTTCTTCAAAAGTCCGCTAAAATAAACGCGAAGCATGTTAAAAAGAATTTCTAGTAAATTACAAACGATGCTAAAGGGGTATTATCGCATAGTAACCTGTTATCCACCAGTTTTCTTAACCCTGCTATGTTGTTCGGGACTTTTTAACTTAATCACGTTGACATTTTTGCAGCACTGTCTGTTTCGTTTAATCTCTTTCAATTTAGTCGTATTCTAACTTTGTTAAGGATACTTTAAATTTGAAACTGGTATGAAAAAAGTGTTACTAGACCATATGTTCCAATATTCTTAAATAATATTCGAAATTCATAGATAAATTGAAGACTGTGACAAGAGTTAAATTCGGACTGTTTACAGAGTTCGCGGAAACTTTCTTTCTGAGGCGACAGCAAGTGTAAAAAAACTATTATATCTAATAATTAAATGGTATATTAATACAGCTTAGGGTGAAACTTGGCGATGTCGCGAATAAAACTGACTAAGGTATGAAGCAAAGGGGAGCACTTTCCCTGCGTTAGACACCGACATAAGATCGATAAAATCTCTACGATGTTCGCAGGCACTTCATAGCGTCATCTCGTGTCTTCCCTAAAATTTCCAACATTTTAGTGCTCACTATCAGGGTATAAATAACCTGCCTTTACTCAATTCTGTGCATAAGCCTTTGAAGCTTAGTGGGTTATACTCCGACCCACTTAATATAATAACGATAATGCATAGTGGATCAATTTGGTTCCCCACTTTCCCAAAGCGCTGCGTCCTTAAAGCACATGGATTCAATACCTGCTATTATCTATCGGTGATGGATCGTGCATACGATTTACGTGTGAGCGGCATATGGTGGCCAGACAATTTCAGCGTGATTTATTCATTCGTTCTGTTTGACTTCGACGTATTCAGAGATTCTATGAACGTTCCGTCCTTATATTTATTGTTTCCGAGGGACTGTAATTTAAAAAGTCTATCACATTTGCACATAGTATTATAGTCGTACGATTAAATATTCTTAGACTGTCCTTAAACATTGCGAGTCTGATCCCTAATAATCTCGGAAAGCAAGCGAAATTTAGAGTAATCTAATTAGAAACCGTATCTTCTTCGTGTTTATAGGAAAGTAAGATTTTCATCTTTGATAGAATGAAAGAAACATTGTCATTCTTTTCCTTTAAATTTCTTAGAAGAGGTTATTTTAGACAAACTTTTCACATGATTCGAGCAAAATG